ATTTAATTTGCACTGCACTTTTCATTAACAAAAATCTCAAAGTGCTAGTGTTTAGAATGTGGTAAAGATTGTTTTCAGCTACTTCTTCACTAATCTTCAGCTTTGCATGTTTGAAAGCAGCTGAATAATAAGTTGTGACTAGCATTCAGCTGGTTTTTATTTTATATCACTCTTAGCTACGATGGCACAAAGTTTCAGCTCAGTTTTTCTTAAAACAGCTGAATTAAAGCCATTCTGATTCAGCTGTGGCGGCCATCTTAAATTCTTTTTTAGTAAGCCMCTCCCCGTGCCACTCCTTATGAAGAAGTGTAGCTCCGCCCCTTTTCCCAGACTGAACCGGTCCGTCTCAGTGTGACGGAGCAGGTTGTGCAGGTCAGGAGCTGAGGCTGTTAGAACAGGAGACACTTCCAGTGAAACAACTGTTAAACATGAGTATAAAACTCCTCTAACAGAAGATTTAAAGTATTTTTCTCTCCTTGAACTCGTCTTCAGTCTGTTTCCCAGTTATCAGAGGATGATACAATAAGTGAGGAGGAGTGGAAACAGCTCTTTTCTTCCAGCAGTCTTTAGAGAAACATGGTGTCTTTGATCAGAACATGCTGGGATTGACTCAGAGGGGCTTTAATGAACACCCCCTACATGTGTCAGAGGTTTAAATCAGAGCGGGTTGCATCAGCTGCTGGCCTGTTGGCAGCTAAACGCACACTGAGGCTTCGGCTGCTGGCCTGTTGGCAGCTACATGCCACTGAGGCTTCGGCTGCTGGCCTGTTGGCAGCTAAACTCACACTGAGGCTTCGGCTGCTGGCCTGTTCGCAGCTAAACTCACACTGAGGCTTCAGCTGCTGGCCTGTTGGCAGCTAAACTCACACTGAGGCTTCGGCTGCTGGCCTGTTGGCAGGTAAACGCTCTGAGGCTTCGGCTGCTGGCCTGTTGGCAGCTAAACGCTCTGAGGCTTCGGCTGCTGGCCTGTTGGCAGCTAAACGCTCTGAGGCTTCGGCTGCTGGCCTGTTGGCAGCTAAACTCACACTGATGCTTCGGCTGCTGGCCTGTTGGCAGCTAAACTCACACTGATGCTTCGGCTGCTGGCCTGTTGGCAGCTAAACTCACACTGAGGCTTCGGCTGCTGGCCTGTTGGCAGCTAAACTCACACTGAGGCTTCGGCTGCTGGCCTGTTGGCAGCTAAACTCACACTGATGCTTCGGCTGCTGGCCTGTTGGCAGCTAAACTCACACTGATGCTTCGGCTGCTGGCCTGTTGGCAGCTAAACTCACACTGATGCTTCGGCTGCTGGCCTGTTGGCAGCTAAACTCACACTGAGGCTTCGGCTGCTGGCCTGTTGGCAGCTAAACTCACACTGAGGCTTCGGCTGCTGGCCTGTTGGCAGCTAAACTCACACTGATGCTTCAGCTGCTGGCCTGTTGGCAGTTAAACGCCACTGAGGCTTTAGCTGCTGGCCTGTTGGCAGCTAAACTCACACTGAGGCTTCGGCTGCTGGCCTGTTGGCAGCTAAACTCACACTGAGGCTTCGGCTGCTGGCCTGTTGGCAGCTAAACGCCACTGAGGCTTCTGCTGCTGGCCTGTTGGCAGCTAAACGCCACTGAGG